TGAACCGGAAAAACCCAACAGAACCACACCATCCACAAAGTGCAGAGACAAGATTCTGCAGCCACCAAAAGAAACACCTCCGTTCCCTGGCTGCGCCTAGAAATTCTGTCCATAAAAATAATGAACAGAATCGGTGACAAAGGACAGCCTTGACGGAGTCCAACATGCACTAGGAACAGGTCTGACTTATCGCCGGCAATGTGAACCAAGCTCCTACTCCGGTCATACAGGGAACGGACAGCCCATAACAACGAGCCCTGCATCACATAGTCCCAAAGTACCTCGCACAGGAAGTTCGGATCATTTTACAGATGCGGTTCTTTGAATCTCGTTCAGCAAAATGAACAAATCTTTTTTCGAGTAATTTCATTCACTTCAGCAGAATGTAATTAAAATGTTACATGTTAATTTCCCATCTACTTACTCACATATTGATCATATTTCAAATAAGAAAGAACTGTAATGCAGCCAAGGTCATATTATAAGTAACTGTGTCTTGAGGCTATGCAGTCTGTTACTTCATCACCTCACCTCTGGATATTTTGGGTCAAATTTGTTTGGTCTTTTGTCATGTAACATCCTAAGCTAAGCTTTGCTGTGTCGTTTTCTGTATAGTACACAGAAAGATTTTCCTTGATGAAGTTTAAAGCATTAACCAACTCTTTATTAAAACAGTCAGTGTTATGGAAAAGAACCATACTGACAGATATTCACAAAATTATGTAGGAAATAAAAAGCTATTTTACAATAAAAAATAAATGCATCACGTAACAGTAAGAGTAAAAAAAACTGTAAGGACGGTTGTCTGTGCAGATTCTCAGTTATCCAGGTCATAGTAAGCTGAAAAAAACTTAGAAAAAATCAACTGGACTAGTATCTTGATCTAGTCTAGTAGCTAGTCCAGTTGATTTTTTCTAAGTTTTTTTCAACTGTAAGGACGGTTTAAAATGAACTAATTTCTGTATCCAACAAAGCGGTCATGTCAAGGTGTACTAATCTTAGGCGATGTTGCGCATGCGCGTTCAACACAAAATGAACGAATCGCTCCCCGAGACAACCCGATGTTCTCGAGTCATGGGAAAGATTCGTTCATTCGTTCAGTTCATTCAATTCAGTTACAGTTCATTCATCATTATTAAGAAGAAAGGTTTGATTTAAATGGATTTAAGATGGGTCATTAAGTACATTTACTTAAGTACAATTTTGAGCTACTTGTACCTGACTTGAGTATTTGCATTTTACTCCACTGCGTTTCAGAGGAAAATATATACTTCTACTTCTACTCCACATAATTTATTTAAAAAATTTAGTCTACTTTGCAATTTCAGAATCTTTATACAAAAGTAGCCATAAGATTTGCGTACTTCTTCCGCCACTGTGTTCAAAACATTAAAATAAGTTCAAAAAAGACATAATCGACAATAAAAGCATTTAAATAAGACTAAACACAATGTATTTCGGCTGAAGCCTTGTTCTGATTTTAACCGATAAGGTGTTGGATGAATTTCATCCAATCAACCCACACGGTATTAGGACAGAACAGTCTCACAGCCAATCAAAACACCACTTTGTCTAAAAAAGAGGCGGGGTTTGTCCACTGTTGCAAAAAAGTAGGCGGTGGCGCTTCCCTTACTGACCAACTTGGCGGAAGTGCACCCGGGCGACAGGAATAGTTTGGTGAACTTTTTGCGCTGGTGGTATTCCTGGTCCAGATATGGCCCCCAGAACGCAGTTAAAGGAGGCGATAGCCGATGTACAGGAGGGGATCCGTGCTATACTGCTCGGACCACCCGGAGCCGGGAAGGGGACTCAGGTAAACCTGTGCGAGCTAACTGAGCTAGCTGTTAGCTTGGAAAAAGTGTTAAGCGCATGGCCGGTCAAGCTAATGTTAAAGCTATTGCTAACGTTACCTGCTTTACCTGTTGGCTTCATCCACCGTTAATGAATGCCTGCTCGCCTTCCAACCACACTGTTGTTTAGGATTTATTTACAAGATAAGGTTAACCACTATAAGGCTGTCCTTAATATGTGATGATTAAGATTTAGGTATGCATTTATTTTATTTGATTCATTATGAAGTTACTAGTTGAAATCCCCTTGGCTGTGTCATCTCTTCTGGTTGTATTTCCAGTTGTGCCACCTCGTTACATAACACAGTGCAAGCTTTGGGAAACATTTGTAGCCAATTGGTGAAAACATAAACACTGTGATTTCACAGTCTTTCCCTTTTCAGACTATGTGTTACCAGGTGTAAACCAATACACCAAACCTTTGCTAGACCCGGGCTATGAGGAGAGTGTGGCTTGGCTAATGTACAAGTAGACGGTATAATGAAGGGCATGTCTGTAGATTAGCTTGAGGTCACGTGGTTTAGCAAAGGGGGACATCTGGTGGCTAGGAGAAGAACAACAGGATCTGTAATGACAGCAGGGAGCAGTATTTAAGTATTCTTCACATATAGATAAAATGAAGAAGCACACCACTGTCTGAATTATGGTACATATAACAGGCTACAGTACAGGTGTTAGCAGTAAAGGAAGTTAAGACACTATAAGGCTACGTAGTGTAGGTACTTTATTGATCCTACTGTGGGGAAATTTCTGTGTTACAGCAGCAATAGAGAACAACCAACATAACACCATAAGAACAAATCTGACACATTGTTTTAGTCTTTACACTTGCCATGTTAATCTGTGGTAAGTCTGAGTATAATGAGTCTAGATCAGGTCGGATGTGGTCTGGATGGGATCATAAAAGCAGTGAAATCGGTCAGTTTCACAGATACAGTTTCATAAGTCTGACATGGTGTCCCTCAGAAATAGACAGTGTTAAAGGTTTAACTGGGATGACTGACACCCACAGTAAGTGGATAAAAAAAACTGGAGAGTCTTATTGTCTTTTATATGTTTATCTTCGTGAACTCTTTTCTCATCAGTTACTTCCCGCTGATGCCACATCACACAGTGCCAGGACAACCGATTAGGTAGGGTGCAGCAGTGAGCCTGATGGTGTTTGACAGCACTGTATGCAAGTAAATTAATTCGGAACAGGTCTTGATGTGGGGAACGCCCTGGAGGAAGTTACCCAGGATTTGTTCTAGTCAAACCAGTACTTCATATATACTAGCTGGTTTCTAACAGTGGCTAATGTTGATATGCATTTTTTCATGAGTTGCTTGCAAGAATCCAGTTTCACAATTAATAGTTCAGATTGAATGATTTGTGTTGCAGCTTTGTTGGAGACACCCAGGTGTCAGTGATGTTTGCACTAAATATGTCAAACTGAGCTCTTTCAGCCTGACGCCCTACGTGGTGTAATGCTGTCAGCTCAGTCACACGTACATGCTGAAAGGCACAGGCACATGCTCTGACATGACATTGGCTTGTTTCTTTAACCCATGTTATAATCTGGATTGTGGCGTTTAGAGCCAAATTGACCACTATATGTTCAGCAACTGTTTTGTGATATTTGACTAATAGCTGAGTTTCCAGGTGTCAAAGCCTTTTAGGTGGCAGCTTCTTTGTGATATTAAATTGAATTTCTATGCATTTTCATGCTGTTTGAACACGCTGTGTTGCAGATGAGGCCATATGCAAAATATCCATGTACAGACAAAATTAAATGTGAAAGTTTTCACCCTGTTTCTTTGCTATGTATAACAGAGATGTTCATGATGTCTAGATACGTTGTCGACTGTACTGTCTGTGAAAACTGGCCTGCACAGCTTCGAAGTTAGGTTTTGCAATTCAGTTGGTGGAGGCTCTTTGTTCTCCCAGACAAAAATACAACTGCTTCCATGCATTTCCCAGCCAGTGATGCAGGTGGTTGGATCTCTGACAGAACAGTGGGTAGAGTAAAGTTAAAATCCACAGCCAAACCTTTCCTTTGTTTGGCTGATTGGTCGTGATCATTTCTGATTTTAATCTCTAATAATGTCTGGTAACATGAGTGCTTTCCTCCTCCCTGCAGGCCCCTGTGCTAGCAGAGCGGTATTGTGTTTGCCACCTGGCCACTGGAGACATGCTGAGGGCCATGGTGGCTTCAGGCTCCAAGCTCGGCAAGAAGCTCAAGGAGACCATGGATGCTGGCAAACTGGTAACATTTCCGCTCATCTGCTTCTCATGACCCCTGAGTGTATTTTCCTTCCTCTGTGCCTCTGTGCCTTGCTCTGTCTGAGGCTACATGTCTCATGTTTTTATCTGCTGCAGGGCTCTTTGTTCTTCTGGCTTCAGAAGTTAGTTCTTTATGGCTTTGGCTTGATATGTGAGCTCAGTGCCCTGTTCCAGAATGAGTTTGGGATTGATCAGGAGCCGCCCTGATGGTGTAGTATAATAGGAAAAAATGTTAAACTTCTAAAGTGCCTGAGGTGTTTGCACAGTACTGTACATGATGGGACTTGTGCCCTGCGCAAGTTGTGCAGAAGCAAAAAGTCAAAAACGGTGAGCAGTGTGAACTGACTCATCTGTTCCTGCTGTTTTGTTTGTCTTGTGACAGCGCGCTGCTTTAAGGAGTAAGCTCAGTCAGTACACAGTCAATTGCAGTGAGACACAAGATAATATAGGGCAGTGATTACCAGCCTTTCTTGCTTATGACCTGTTGGCACAGATTGCTTGTCTCTGATTTGAAAATGTCAGACTGTGTCATTTGAATCATCGTTGGAGATCTATAGCAAAACCTAACAGCACTTTTACAGCTGAACAAAGCAAAGATTAAAGAAAAAAATCCAAAAAAATAAAATGACTTTGGTGATGAAGAAGTGATGAAGCCACTTAGTTTCTGGTGTGTGTCATTACATTAACAACATGATACTGTACTGTGATAGCTGCCATCTATTTAGTCTAACCTTTTGGATACAGTACAAACCACACCAACACTCCAGCCTCATAATGAGCCTGCAGTTGAATCAGCACCTGTATGACACGGCCGAAACCAAAACTGACCTTTAACAGTTCATGCAGGAGGATTACTGAGTCTGTGGAGTCTTTTTCTTAATGTTTTGACTCAGGTAAAATGTCTCTTCTTTCATTGTGATAACATTTTTCATCACTAATTGTGTCTTGTCCTGTGTGTGTATTTATGCAGCTGTTGCACCACTTTCTGACCTTTTCAGTGTCCGAGCATATGACTGATATCTCACTGTGATATCCTCTGAGCTGTTTCCTGCTGGCTGTGTCTGCTTGTCACTGTTTGCTTTACACATACAGCCAGTGTGCAAACAAGTCCATTTAAAGGACTCCTTTTATTGTCATGACGTTTACTGTGTGCACACTGAAGAAATCACAAGTATCTGAAGCAAATAAACGTTATAAACATGTTGTTCTCTCTTTATGTGGGTCCTGGGCAGGGCTGTTGCTGTGCAGGATGCAGCAGATTACACTGACTAAATGAAATGTCCTCCTGCAGGTCAGTGACGAGATGGTTGTGGAGCTCATCGAGATGTCTGTAGAGGCCAGCCTGCAGTAATGGAGTCCTGCTGGACGGGTGCCCGCTAACAGTCAAACAAGCAGAGATAGTTAGGTTTTGTATAAATATCATTGCTGTGATGTGAAACAGAACTGCACGGTGGAGTCCAGCAGTAGCTCACAATAGAAATGTAAAGGAGTAGTTTGACATTTTGGGAAAAATACCTGTTTTGCTTTCTTCCTAGACACTCACTCAGCTCTTTGGTTTGTGTAAACACTAAACATGAGTTGTGTTATTTAGAAAGCTTAAATATGCTGGCATCTGCTTTTGTGAAGTCTGGATGAGTCAGTCTAGCTGCTTCCTCTGATTCCAGCCTGTGCAAAGCTAAGCTAATCAATTCTAGGTATCCATTTTTCATTTTAATTCTCTACACGAAAATGAATAATCCTTGTTCCCAAAGTGTTGAACTGTTCCTTCAGATTTGTCAGTGTAGGACTGAACTTGGATGGAACAACGTACTGCCTCAGTTCACACCAACAGTGCGGTTAAAACAGAGGGACTACCATATACCTAAGCAAACTCTTTATATATCACGTTGTGTTTTTGCTGTCATCTTGAATAAGAAAACGTATTTAAAATTTAAATTAAGGGATTGAAGAGAAGGTTTAATAGAGATTTTGTTTGTGAAAGTCTCCACTGAAATAAGTAACAGTTTTGTAATTTCTCAAATAAAAGTAGGAACTCAAAATATGGCCACGTCACAAATAACAGACCCAGCCATTGCTGAATTGTAGCTAAACTCACGGCCCTTTAACTTTGGGGCAGAGAGACGATTCCTCCTCAGATATTTTAGTGAGGCTCTGTAACATCAATGCAATTCATAAACGCAGCTATGGTTCACAGTATTCATATCCCTGAAGAAAAATCCAGATCTCGCACTGCAAAAGGTTTCACAGAAGAGTTTTTGGCAATTTGATGCAGTAAAGTAGATCAGAAAATGGTCTCTCTAAATTATGACCAAACATTGGAAATTGAATTAAAGCGCTCTCTCTAAAAATGTCCTGTTGCAAGTGAAGGTGTGCAGTAGGTTTATATTGAAGTCGGAGTAAAAGGTAAAACTAGGCAGCGTCACTACTTGACTGTTACAGTTTATATGTTTAGCAGATGTTTTTATGTAGTTTAAGTAAATGTATTAGGAAGAAGATGCAGAGTTTAGTGCTGGTCAGTGTCTTAGTGATGCCAAATGTCTGACTCCCTCCGTGTCCATCTCTTGCAGCTCGACAACTTGTTGGAAAAGAGACACGAGAAGCTGGACTCTGTGATCGAGTTCGCTGTCGACGACTCTCTGTTGGTACGCAGGATCTGTGGCAGGTAGGAGCCAGCGTGAGAGAGCATGAATTATTCAAGCCCACAGGAAGGACTCTATTTTATTTCCCAGGCACGCAGCCAGTAGACGTCAGTAGTTTATGGTTTGACTGACACAGACTGAGGACTGAACAGAAAGTTAGAGTTTATAGATGGTTAATTGGAAGCATCTTCTGGGACTGAACAGAAAGTTAGAGTTTATAGTTTGTTAAATGGAAGCATCTTCTCTTTTTTGGTGCATTTCAAACTGTTCAGCCTCCACTGAGCAACAGATAATGATTTTACATTAGTTTTAAAACGGTTTAATATAACAGGTTGTGCTCTGGTTTGATGTGCTTCAGACCTTCATCTGAACACGTGTCAGCGCTTTAGAAAGTGTGTGCTGTGCAGTCTTGACCAATGTTTGTTATTGCAGTACAGTGTCTGTTCTCTTTCTTCACCACTCTACATTGTGTGTCTGCCACACTGAAGAGAAAACACATAGTTTGCAGAGAGCTGTCTTTGTCTGTAGGGGTCCTTTGTGAGGAAGATGAGGCCAGCCTCTATGAACCCCAAGTAGGACAAGGGTATACGTGGGATGTGAAAAGGACAGTTCATTTGTTAGTGAGTCAGTGTCTGTCCTCCTCCGTCTCTCCTCTAGCTCTGACTTCATTTCCATCTTTGTCCTCTCACTGTCCTCCCTTTGCTTTCCTAGACTAATCCACCAACCAAGTGGCCGCTCCTACCATGAGGAGTATAACCCCCCCAAAACGCCCATGAAGGATGACGTAAGTAGACTCGCTATCAGCCACTTTCTAAGTGGTTTCTGAAATGCCACCTACCTAAAATGACTGCCAGCCTGGAAACCGGTGACTATCAGCCACCTCCAGATGAAGTGCTGTGACGCACCGTGGATGTATAAAATGTTAGAGATATTTACTCTTATTGAAGTGGAGCAGTGGTTAGCGCTGCTGCCTCACAGCAAGAACGTTCCACGTTCGAGCCCCAGCCCACCTGGTGCCTTTTTGTGCGGAGTTTGTGCTCTCTCCCAGTGTCAGCTGGGATTGGCACCAACCCCCCTACAGCCTTCTTCAGGATAAGTGTTATAGATAATGGATGGATTGTATTTAGCATGGACTGCTGATACCTTATCAGTTCATTTGGTGCCAACACTGATCTGCCAGACTGGATTGGTGCATCTATAAAATGTGAAACCAAGTGGCTTGTTTGCAGAAAAACCACTACTCACAGTGACACACAATCCCTGTGCTCACAGAGGTGGGCAGAGACAAAGCACTCATTTTGTTGACTAACATGAGACAGACTTCGGTACAAGTGCAGCGCATGAGAGAAGGAAAGTGAGAGGGATAAAGTGGCACCTAATTAGGTTGCATTGTGAAAGCCAGATGAGGTCAGTAAACAGAAACTAAGGCACCTTGAACTAATTTTAGACATAAAACTGTTTTGCACAGATT